CTTGCACTATATTTGTGGCAATTGGCTCACTTAGTTGCAAAGTATCAAAGAATTTATCTGGGCATGCGCAGTAATGACTTTAATATAACCGCAACTTTCGTATGCCTCTGAATTTTTGTGTATATATATATAAATCTAAAACTTCATATAGTACATGTCAACTAGCAATGGAAGCTGAGTGCGATAAAATATGCAGTATGCACTTCGGTCGCGACCGCACTCTCCCTGTGTACCTGAGCAAAGCCTATCGCAGGTGATCTCGGGGTCTGATGGGCGGAAGCTCGTTATTGGCATCTTCCAAGTAGGATAATGTGGATGGGCCGAAATCACCCACCGAAACGTTAACATGCGGCGTTATAGTGTTTTACGCTTAAGAAGGTATCGGGAATCATGGACCGAAAACGGGGTTTTTTGCTTTTGAATTTTATTTCTTTTGTTTATATCATAAAAGAAACTAGAGTACACTTTGAATTATCTTGCAAATCATCTCTTGTGGTGATTGCTTCCTCTTCACTATTGAAATTAGATGCCTCGTTCTAAACGAAAGACGCAGGTAGTTATCTTTACATATCTTCAGCGACATCATGAAGAATTCCCACTACTTTATACCCCGTGAGCCAACGACCTTCCAAATTGTATATGTGATTAATCGATGTTTCTGTTGAAAATGTCTTCAGAACACTCGGTGTTGTTAATGGACTATTATTGTATTGGAACCTCGTCCTCGCTAGAGCTTTTATCGTCGTCAACATACTTGAAATCATTCGCGTTTTCATTGTTTCACGAGTCCTCATCCAAAATTCTCGAGCGTACGTTAGGTGCTTCTACTACGTTCAATTTTATCAAGGTATCTTCAACCTTGCGTCTCTGTTTCTCCTTTGTCATGCTTCATTTTGTTTCACTGTTGGAAGTTTCATTTTCAAGTATTTGCTCTACATCAATCCACGAATTATAGTATCAGTCATAAATACTAGAGCATTGTTTATTCACAAAATATTCAGATACAAACTTATGGAGAAAAAAAACATATCTAACATTTTCACGAATATTACGAGTGGCGTAACAAAGTGTTGATGAATTTGATATGCATTTGTCAAAACAAGGTTAAGTTGACAAAGAGAATGCCAAAATTGAAATATATTATTGAAAATCTGCTAAGAGCATATACAAGCACTAATTCAGAGCTCGCTCAATCACAAATTAATTTAGAACGATCGACTGTATGTTTTAGTATCCAATATGGAAGAATTAGCTCGCTCAGTTACAAATTTTCAGATAAATCAACTGCGCATGTGCAGTTTGTTTGATCATGCGCAGTCGAATTGATTATTTTCCTAAGTTTATGGTCATAGCAACGACCAATCGCATCTACAAGCACCGATTTTGAAGTAAATAACAGGCTTATTAACAAAATAAAGAAAACATCTGCGCATGCGCTCGAGCATGCATAGTCCACTCGACTAATTGTTCATAGTCATGGCAACGACTATAAAACATGTACTTGCACTATATTTATGGCAATTGCCTCACTTAGTGGCAAACTATCAAAGAATTTATCTGGGCATGCGCAGTAGTGACTTTAATAATACCGCAACTTTCGTATGTCTCTGAATTTTTGTGTATATATATATAAATCTAAAAGTTAATACAGTAGATGTCAACTAGCAGTGGATGCTGGGTGCGATATGTATGCAGTGGCTTAGAGTAGAGGCTCAAACTTTGGTCGCGACCGCACTCTCCCTGCGTAACCCTATCAAAGCATATCGCAGGTGATCTCGGGGTATGGTGGGCGGAAGCTTGATACGTATTGGCATCCCCAAGTAGGATAGCGTGGAGGGGCCGAAATCTCCGACTGAAACGTTAACATGCGTTGTTCTAGTGCCTTACGCTTAAAAAGGTATCGGGAAGCATGGACAGAAAACGGGTTTTTTGTTTTTGAATTTTATCTTTCTGTTTATCTCATTAAAGAAACTAGAACATCCAAGGATACTGCAAGGGTTCAAAAAATTTTGATTTTTGACTTATAATTTAAACTAACTCTAAATATGTTTATACATTTTTTACATTATGGATTGTAAATTTCTTTTAACCTTACAAAATTTTCATGATTTAATCAGGAAAGGAACTTCTCTTCTCGAGTAATTTTGCGATTTAACAAAACACTTTTCGGATTCAAAAGAATTCTTTTGATCGCATAGAGACAGCCATCCAGATTTATTACGTACCTAAGCGTATATAAAGCATTTCCAAATCACGTTCAAAATTTCCTTCGCAACACCAAATTACCATCTATTTAAACGATGTATGTATTAAAAAGTTACCTTGACAAATGAAGCACAACCTCCTTTTTCCAATCATTTCCAACACCTCAAATTCATTTTCTCATGGACATTCTATACGATTTGTCAATTTAGTCAATAAAAACAGCAGCAACAAGCTGTTAGCGCATAATAGTGCGAGTGCCAATTAACTTGAAAATTTTCACGTTTCCACAAAGAAATGCCGTCTAGTGTTATTTTTATTCTTTAGATATGTAGAGGTTTCTTTACCGTAGAATTTCTTGATGTACTAACGAGTTTGTGTTCCAAAAAACGCTAAAGAAATTCCTGGTTTTACATTATGGTTTAAGTTATTGTGGTTTAATAGGTTAATTTTGTATTAAAGAATATTAGAAATCAGGAAGGAGTGAACGATATAACGAATTTTTAGAGTTTTTCACCCAAAATTTCTTTGTGGCATCCATATTTGTGATAACCGGTTCCAGACCTCTTTGTATATCTTAATAGAAATCAATGTGTAATGTATGATGACAGGAAATTTTCCTGCTGGACAGAAGAAGCAGGACCACGAGCTGCACAAATGATTATTAAGTACTTTCGAGTTCTTTGTTTTGGTTTCATCTTTAAGGACTTGTCAGTGCCCTTGAAGTAATTCTTGATTTAAAAAATTTTTAAGTGCTGTTTATATTAATTGTTCAATTTCAAATTTTCAAGTGTCCTTAAATTCATTTTTAAATATCTGATATTGATTTTTCAATATACAGACATATTATCAAATCACCACAGGTTAAAACTTAATCATTGGTGAATGCAGTTGGATTAAACTATGTTATCTTTTTTCTTTCTTAACAGTGTGGTGTTTTGGCTTGACTTCTCTGCGCTCCACAGATTTTCAATCAGATTGCATACTAGATTGCTATGGATAATTGATTTTATAATAGAACATGCTAAGTTCATAACTTTCTGAGATGGTTGAATACTTTGTTTGCACTTGTGTATATAGATTGGCTGAATTTTTTATTGCGTCTATTCAGTGCAATTGTAAGTGAGTTTTGAAAATATTACATGGGAATAATTGAATCACGATGCAACTTACACTTTATTAATAATGCAAGTAAAGTTCACTACAATTTTAACAACTAGAGTTAGTAGGGTTTACATATAAATATTTAATTCTCAATTAAATAGTGATAGATAAATGCTGCGTAAACAAATTGTGAAATGTGCGTTGTTTTGTGATAAAGAATTGAATCCTGAAAAAGCTTTAAGGTCTTTTATATAAGACTTAGTACATGTAAGAAACTTTTACTTGGATACTGCTTTGAGTAGCGTATTTTCCATGGTGAATGACAACTACAGAGTTCTATGAATAACTGTTAAAAAATCAAAATTAAGATATCTTTAAAATACATGGCACGATGTATTTCCGTGCAGACTTCTCATAAAGTGCGAAGTATACTTTCATGAAAAGCAAAAGTCTACTTATTAGTTGTGAAGACAAGAAAGAATAACATCACCGTTAAACGGAGTGGTGACGTTTAAGCGCTTAAAACAGGGATACTTTAAAATCCTTATCTAACCGTTTATTGTTCAAAATGATGCAAAATGGAGGCTAGAACTCTCTTTTCTACTGTCACTCTCGGTTTTCTGTTGTTTGATGCTGTAGGTGGCTTTGATAATACAGCAATCAGCGCGTTTCTACCGTGGTTTCTGTACAGATTTTGGAGGTCAGCGTATGATAGTCCACTGCCAGCAATCTTTTCTGCCATGTCTTTACTTATCACCGCTTGAAAAAAACTATCATCGCTGTATAACTTGTTCTTCATTGTTTGAAGAAGCTGGAGTCGATGGTCCAAATATTGCATATCTTTTAAAGCATCGTTAAAGAAAATCGGTTTACAATGATTGATAATATCGTGTTCGGTCAATTTGATTGGTGAAGAAAATAGAATTCGTTGCAAAGCTATAACGTCTTCTGGTCCCTCGTGTGCAGCATATGTTTCACCAAACAAAGTCTTGTACAGGGACAGCATGTTTAAAGGGCAACTCTGTCCGTTCGGCTGAATCAACGCTGGATGCTTTGTTTTTGATAAATGCTTAAACAAAGGAAGACTGTCGCCAAAAATAATCTCTAAAGCTCGCATTGATTCATGGATATCATTCTCACTGTTGTGAAACAATATTTTTGTGTCAAACAAGCTTGCATTGTGGCCGATTAATACAGTGCATACATCTTTGTTGGTTCTAGCTTTGCTTGCAATCTTTAATGTAGTTCACGAATAGCGAAAGAGCCTCTTGACAGGTAAATGACTCCAACGCCTCATCATCTTTAAAAAATGTTCGTCTTCCATCAACTGTTTGCACTGACAGTTTATTGTCGAAGGTAGCATAATAATGAATGTCCTCATCAGGTAAAATGTATTTGCAAAACTTAATTTGACCTGTTTTGTCGATAGCTGAAAGTTGACATAACTCGGCACCTCTATCTAATGAGGTTGTTTCAATATCAAACACGATGATATTGTATTCTATATTGATGTTGAATTTTTTAATTTGACAACTTGGCCTTGGGATGAAAGCGGAGATTGCTTCTTCATAAAAAGTCAGTATTTCTCTCGGGATACTTTCACTCGCACTGGTTGTAGACTCAAACTGATTCAAGCTCATGGCACTGTCGGACTTATACGTACGTTTTGCCCTCTTGATTTCCTTTTTACGCAGTGCTTTGATACCAGGATCTATATCCAAAGCTTTGAAACGTAGAAGAAATAATAATATAGGCAACGTTGGTCTAGTCCACAGCACTAGCCAGGGAAAATTTATAGAAGACCGAATAGACGCTGTTAAATTTTCAATGATAATGAAAGCGACGCTGCTTAATTGGTAATGATGAAAATGACCCTACGGTTGCCCGTATGTGCAATACACAAATAAATATAGAAGTGCGTAAAAAAGTTATAAATCTCCAGAAAAAGAATCATAACGAAAATCAAACTAAAGTAAATGGTTTGAACCAAGGAGAATCGTTATATCTTTGTAAATGTAGATCGTCCAGGTTGGTATAGTCCTGTAAAGGGCTGTTTTTGTTGTTGTTGACTGACGTTTCGACAACCTTAGTGGTAGTCATCTTCATTTGATTCTGAAGAAGACTACCGCTAAGGTTGTCGAAACGTCAGTCAACTACAACAAAAACAGTCCTTCAGGACTATACCAACCTGGACGATCTACATTTACAAACATGAAAATCAAGCTAGGTACAAGTAAATAAGGAACATTAAGTGTTAATTTTTGAATAATACGCGACAAAAAGTATTAAAAAACACGACTAAATCTTTTACTTGCGTGGAATGTAGAATCACCAGATATAGTTTGATTGCAAAATATAAAGTTGCATGTGAGAAGATTATGGATTTTGTGCGACGTTAGGTGTAAACGATACATGTTCTCAACTTGGCCTGCTTTCACAAACCAAATCACACACATGCGAAGCCGATTTTCTTGACACGTGTAGCATTTGGCGTATTCAAACTTTTCCATAAACGATTTTTTCGACTCTTACAACTAGTGTGAACTAGGCTTAAGTACTTTTCAATTTTTTTAAATTTGATTTTGAAGGACTTTTCATGTGCTCTTAAGATGACTTTCTAATTTAAAAGCTTTTTAAGTGTCCTTTAAATTGATTTTTTCGAACTAGAAAGTTCTTCTTACTGGAAAACACGGGTACGGGTACACCGGTAGAATATGACGGGTAGATTTTAACGGGTAGATTTTGACGGGTAGATTTTGACGGGTAGATATTGACAGGTAGATTTTGATGGGTACATTTTGAAGGGTAGATTGTCACAGTTGTTTATTTTGATGAGAAATACAAACACACGAACATATACAAGGAAATATATTTGCAAATTTCCAATGTTTTTTAGAGAAATCTACTCGTCAAAATCTACACGTCAATATCTACCCGTCAAAATCTACCAGTAAAATCTACTCGTCAATATCTACCCTTCAATAACATCTACCCGTCAAAATCCACCCGCAACCGTGTACCCGTATCCGTGTTTTCCAGTTAATCGAAAAGTTCTTTGTTTTATGTTAATTTCTAAGGACTTTCAAGCTCCCTTAAATTGATTTTCTATAATTTAAGGACTTTTCAAATGCTTTAAGCATCTGCACGAGCCCTGAATAGTAATACTATCTTACCTATATATCATATTTCTTCTATATGATGATGAGGAACTTTCAAAAAAAGCTGTCTATAAAAGTGAAATATAGCTGCATGAATTGTTTCGTTATAGTGAATCAGCGTGATTTTTTTTGCTCGGTGAATTTTTCTTTCTTTTTTTTCTAACTTTTCAGTAAGGGCCTATGACTGTTCATATGAGCGTGAGTTTTTTCTGCTCGGTGAATTTTTCTATTTTTATTTTCTGACTTTTCAGTAAGGGCCTATGACTGTTCATATGAGCGTAATTTTTTCAGCTCGCTGAATTTTCTAATTTTTCTCTGACTTTTCAGTAAGGGCCTATGGCTGTTCATATGAGTCCAGACATACCACTGACCGAGCTAAATATGACCTCGCTTTTATATGAGTAATTCAACCCAGTCTGCCGCGGCGAAATAGCAAAAAAACAATTTGCAAAATGTTGCGGGTTAAAAGTAACTTGGCACATCATACACCGGAATTCTTTGAATTGTATGGGTTTATTACCATTTATACCAATAGTTTATACCTTTTATAGTCTATGTTTTTATAACGAATACTAATTTTATATTCAAATAATGAATTCAACTTTAAATCATGTCATTATTCTAGCGTAGTTGCTTCTTTTCGGCTTAATTTCCGCTTCCACTCCATTGGCCGCCATGTTTTTAATATCATAATTTCATCTCGGAAAGCGAGAATTCACACGGAAAATTTTCATACTGCCTACATATGACCTCGCTTCCTACAGATGAAATCTAGACCACCGAGCCAGCCTGCCTTCACAGTTAACACAATTAACTGTGACTGTTCGACTATTGTCCACAAGCGCATTGATTTATTTGTAGGGTAGTTTTTAGTCCTGCTGGACAAAAGCAGAACGAACAGTAGGTACGTCAACGGTTATTAAGCACTTTCAAGTTCTTTGTTTTAGTTTCATTTTAAGGACTTTTAAAAGTGCCCTTAGATTGATTTTCTATTTTATGGACTTTAGAAGTGCCCTTTAAATTTATTTTTCGATTTAGGGACTGTTGAAAGCTTTAAGAACCTATACAAGGCCCTGATTAGTAATGCACGTTTTATAGTTTTTATGACCACGAGAAATTCTAAAAGCAGCCTGCTTGTAAGTCCTAATAAATTTCTTTCAATGTCATTATGACTTGCTATCAAGTAAATGGTTCAATACTTTAGTTTTAGGTGTGTAAATAGTGTGACTGAAGTTTTATTTTGTTCATGTAGTGTAGTGGGGATTTTATATAATTATATTACAATAGCTCAAGCAAAATGCAGCTTATACTTTAGTAATAATGCAGGTGAATTCCACTAATAATTGTGACAACCAGTTTGAATATTAATACATTTAAATATTGAACTATCGACAGTTCGTGATAAATATACGCTGTGTGGGTTGTATTTAGTTAAAACCAAAATGTAAAATATCCTTCATTTTATATTGAAAACATTTATTTAACTCTGTTCAGGATTTAACTCTTACAGTGATTTATTATCACCAAACAAAGATTGAGTGATTTAGTTTTTCCGATCACTTTCTTTTCAATTGTAAGCTCTCGACCGTAACAGTTTCACACTGCTGCACACAATTCAAAAGAAAATAATCACAAAAAGTCGATCGCGCGACAATTTACCCTGAATGGAAATCAGCCTTTACACAGCCGCGTTTACACTACAAGCCTTTGCCTTACCTAGGACTTATACAGTCGCGTTTATACTACGAGCCCTTGCCTTACCTAGGACTTATACAGTCACGTTTACACTACGAGCCTTTGCCTTACCTAGGGCTTACACAGCCGCGTTTACACGCCTTTGCCTTACCTGACTTACACAGCCGCGTTAACACTACAGGCCTTTTTACCTAGGACTTACACAGTTTACACTACAAGCCTTTGCCTTACCTAGGACTTATACAGTCGCGTTTATACTACGAGCCCTTGCCTTACCTAGACTTACAGCCAAGTTAACACTACAGGCCTTTGCCTACCTAGGACTTTACAGCCTGTTTACACCACTTCCTTTGCCTTACCTAGGACTTCTTACTACGAGCCCTTTGCCTTGACTTACAGCACGTTTACACTACAGCCTTTCCTCACCTAGGACTTGCCGCGTTTCCTACAAGCCTTTGCCTTACCTAGGACGTACACAGTCGCGTTTATACTACAAGCCTTTGCCTTACCTAGGACTTTACAGCCTTTCCAGCCTTTTCACCTAGGACTTACAGCCTTTACACTGCCTTTGCCTTTACCTAGGACTTCCATTACCTTACCTAGACTTCCATACTCTTTGCCTTACCTAGGACTTCCAGTTTATACTACAAGCCTTGCCTTGACTTAGCCTTACACTACATGAGCCTTTGCCTCACCTAGGACTTCACAATCGCATTTATACTACGAGCCTTTGCACCTAGGACTTACACAGCCATTACACTAAGCCTTTGCCTTACCTAGGACTTACAGCCGTTTACACAAGCCTTTGCCTTACCTAGACTTACACAGTCGCGTTTAAACTACGAGCCTTTGCCTTACCTAGACTTCACAGCCGCGTTCACACAACGAGCCTTTGCCTCACCTAGGACTTACACAATCGCATTTACACTACGAGCCTTTGCCTTACCTAGGACTTACACAGTCGCGTTTACACTACGAGCCTCTGGAAATTTGAATAACAATAGATTTTGCATGGGAATTGATTAAATTGTGGCGAATCGCTCATAGCTTAAGACTGCGTTTACACTATACCGGATTCCCACATCACGACATCTTCATTTTCTTTAAAGGGGTAACTGTACGGACTAAAAGCTGATAGATCTAGTCTATTTGACTGTGTTTCTGACGTCGAACAAATTCATTGCATTTTAATATAAAGAATATTCAACCTGCTCCGATACGAATCCGGTACAGTGTAAACAAGGCCTAAATTTCTACGTCTCCTCAGCTGAGCAAAACTGCATCCTGACTGAAGTTCGGTAAAAATAGACACAGTTCTACTCTATTTCAATGTAGCTATTGGGTAAAGTAAGGATGAAAGAGACAGTTGAGAAAGTTTTGGGGCATTAGCTTTTTGAATCACATCACGAATGGATTTTGAAAAAATTACCGACTAACCAATTGTAAGTTTGATGATGAAAAAATAAAACAGTATTTGCTTAAATCATTCTATAGTCAACGCCTTGTATTGTTGTCAACTTGTCTTGTTTTTAATTTATATTGTTGAATTTGCTTGGCAACCGACAAACACCTGTCTTACAACGACCCCTTTTTGTTGTAAGACAGGTTTTTAGAGGAGACCTAAATGCTATAAAACCTATTCATAACGTCACCCTATAGTGTATGCTTGCGTATACATACTTATATGGGGGATATTGACCAATCGCTACCATACGCTGGTGCTATATGCGTCTTTGTAACAGGGAGGTTATTCACGAATCGACTTGTCGCATGTTATGTTTCTATCAAGCTTATATCAAATATTCATATAATAATTTGTAAGAACGAAAGATTGATGTCATTGTTAACACCAGTCAAAAAAATATGCTCTGGTACAATGTTTATTGCTTTTTTAAAATGCATGTGTAGAATAGAGAAAGTTCTCGTGAAGAGATATTAATATATTTTGAATACCTCAATATGTGGGTGGCTTGAACGTAATGAGTCATTGAATAACACAAAATTTAATTGCTTATGGCGTACATTTAAAATAATTTTTATTTTTGCTTTATATCGTAACTAACCGCATAAAATGTCATAAATAAATCCCCGCATACGCCTAAAATTACTTTCATATTACTTTGCTATATATATATTGCACAATGTCAGTAAGTTGAACACCTAACATACCTGCTAATTTAAGTACTGTGAAGTAATGGAAATTTCAATAGTATAGTTGTGTAAGTTTCATTATGATTGGTTCAAATTTAAGAATAATGCATAAATGGAAGAAATATACTTATAATCATGAAAACAGACAGATTAAAGACAAACTGTTTTAGATTTTAACAATAAAGTAATAGAATCATCTGTATATATTCAAAATTTAAACATGAAATTGATTCATGTTTCGGTTATTATACTTCAGGCACTTTCATTTCTTGGCGGAATTAAAATTTTAGACATATTTACAAGCGGCATTTCTGACATTGTATGGCGCCGGGAAGTCAAGAAATCTTTAAAAGAAATAAAAGACAAATTAGATGGTCTTTCGCAGGTAGATCTTCGTTCGAGTATAGACTCTTTGGAAGAAGGAATTGTTGAACTTTTTCTGTGCTTTGACAAAGTGAAAAATTTTGAATGGAGAGAACGTACAAAAGCAAATAATGACGACATTTCAACGGCAACGTCCAGTTCCAATGTGCGTAAAGCTTGGAGTTCAATGAAACAATTCATTCACGAAAATAAAAATTTAGAGACTGGGTCAATTAGCTTTGAAAATGCAAAGAAAGAATTTCAGACATCCCGGTCAAAAGCAACGGATGCGTTCAACAACGAAAATTTAAGCTTTGAGAACAGAATATTAGCTTTAAAAGTTAAGATCGTGGCAATATTTTTGGAGCGCCTTGATTGCCCAGAGGAAGAAGCCATTAAGTTGTCCTTTCAGTATATGAAAGAGCTACATCAACTGGCCGAAGTTTGTAAAAAGTTCTCACTTCACATCAAGGGTGGCTGGATAGCAACATTGAGAAATATAATAGACGACAGAATGAAAATTATAAAACCAGTGATGCTCCTCAACCGTCAATTGTATGACTTGATTGGAAGTATCAAGTACTATAGTAGTCATGTACGGGATTGGCCGACTATTGAACTTGGAGAAGGACTGTTGTTTAACCCCATATTAGACTGGCGAAAGATCTCCACCACAAATTCTTGGGGTGAAGAGTTGATTGCATCTCCTAACGAATTCGAATTTGTTTTTTCTATCGGACCACATTTGCGACGTATTATGAGTTGGGATGTTAACAGTCGTGGTGAAATCGTAAGTGGTACTAAGCACGAAATTAGACTTTATAAGCCATATGTTAATACTAAAGAGCGAGGTTATAGATATGATGACGTTTGTTATACATATCCATGTCATGAATATAAGTGGATCAGTGCTTTATCAGTGGATCAAGAGGATAACGTGTACGCAATACGAATGGTTGCTAAATTTGATGAAGAAAGATTTGAGAAGTCTTTTCATATTTTTGATAAAGATCTATCCTTGAAACATAAAGTGGACATTCAGCCTAGTGTGGACACTCGGGGCTGTAGCCGTCCCTCTGTGGGCACTCCTGATCATTGTTTGAAAATCTTTAACAATAATGTTGTGCTGCTCGAATCTCTAGTCAGGCGTAATGGTTACCCTTGGACAGGTGAAGTGTTTATTCATGACAAGAACGGAGTATTTCGCAAGCGTTTTTTTGCACAAGATTATGTGGAAGCATTGGGTATTTCTAACAAAAATATCTTTCTTGGTGGATGTGATGATATCTACGTTTACACGATGGAAGGCTCGTTGATTAAGAAAATAACACTATCAATGGAAGAGATTTATGATATAGCATTTCATTTTGGTCAAGGCAAACTTCTTATTTCAATTTGGCCAAGTCGTGCTATCAGTTATGATCTTGACTCCGAGGAGGAAAACGAGCTGATGCAGGAAAATCCTATTAGATATACTGTAGTCAAAGGGCATCCTGGTGGACCTACTTTGTTGGCCCAAGGGCCTAAGCGCATCTTTAAAGACCAGGAGTTGCATAAAGTTCTATTCATATAACTTTAAAAATTTTAACCTTCTTGCTCAATTTCAAATTTAGATTTACACAATTAAAATGAGAACCACTATTTTTACACATTCTTTTAAACTTAATTCATTTTAAGCTGAGAAGAAGACGTTCACGCCTTAGATCATGAAAAAGGCGGCCGTATCAAATCTCGTCCTAATAGACTTTTTCATACGAGCATCTGCATTGAAATTGGACTGCTTCCAAAATATTATACATGATTGTTTATTAAAATTCAAACTCTAAACTGTTTCATAGTGTAAGCAAAATATTCCTCTCGCATATATGAATACATATTTACTAAAAACCCGTAAAAAGTGAGTAATGAAATAACCTTGGAACAGGATTGTCTGAATGTAATTTTCTTGTTTTTTTTTTACATTTTATACGTACAGATAATACGATATTGCAGTTGTAGAATGCTAAACATCAATAAAGATAGAGCAAAATAACAGTGAAATAGTGTAATATTTGTAGAATAAGGGGCCCCGAAATCAGTTTACTTTACTTATAAAAATGACTTATTTAAATATAATCCTCGATTTTATTCAAAGCATAGCTAATAGTTATACCACTGAGCTGTATGTTAATTACGTGAACGGGAAATCCATAGAGATTATAAATAATACTAGAGGTGAAAAAACTAGACGACGAAAAGTTGGGGGGAGGGGGGTTAGGTCCCAGTATCTTGTTTCGTGAAGACGCTTAGTAAAGACAAAGAACCCAAAAATTATTTTGCCATCTTCCTTTGAGTTTCGGGCTCGTTCTTAATATACTGTTGTACGTGTTTTTGTTCTTCTTTCTTAACATAGATAAATTTTATCCATTTTAGCATTTTTATATTTAGATGTTTTTTTTGACGAGCTACCAGCGTTTTTTACCATCAGGTAAGACTTTCCGCGCTTTGTGTCTATAGTATACATACGACCAAATTAGAAAAAAAAATTAGTGTGTAGAGCTTATTTCAAGTAGGTATTAGTTCTCATCCATTGAAGACGGCTGATCATACTCCGTTGGCATTATAATATTATAACTATCAAACGAGAGAAAGTAGGATACTGGTTTGGGAAGCCGCAAAATAAAGTGAACCATTTGATGTTTGTAGATGACTTGAAGTTGTTAAGGAGATTAGAGGGTGAACTGAAAAGTCTGTTTGATGTCATACAAATCTGTTCATTCTAAAGATATTGATTTGTATAAAAGTGCTGCTTTGGTTTTAAAACAAGGGGAAAAAGTTAGTTGTGAGTGAATTGTTTTACTAGACCCCTGGCAATATGTGAGCTAGATGAAAATGGATACAAGTATTTGGGTGTGTTAAAAGGGGCTGACATTATGCAAAAGGAAATGAAAGAAAATAAAAAGAAATATTTGAGGATGAAATTGGTAGCAAAATTATAGTTGTATGCAGGAAATTTCATAAAAGCAATAAACGCTTCGGCTTATGGAGCAATACGATACATAGATGGGATTTTGGATTAGAATAAAAAAAATTGAGGGCTTTGGATTTACATACAAGGTAGAAAATAAAAATGTTTGAAGCCTTTCATAAAAAGGAACTGTGGCTAGACTTTAAATGAAGAGAAATGACGGAAGAAGAGCTCTGATTAGTAGTGTCGAATGTGGGAAAGAAGAAGAACTTGGATTATTTGAGTATGTCAACGCAAGTGAAGAATTGATGTTGAAAGCTGTTAGTGAAAGAGAGAGAACAACAAGCGAGTGGAAAAGCCGAAGGAGGAAAGAGAGTTTTTTCGAACAACGATTGCATGGAAAATATACCAACAGAAAAATATCGATCCCCACTTTCAATTTATTACCAGGAACACGAAGTCACGAATAAACTCCAATGAGAAATATCCAATGCTTACATTTCCAAAATATAAACCTAATTTTTTATGTTTATTTTCATAACACCGTTCAGAGTGCCACTTTGCCAGCTAATTCCTTGGGTGCCCATAGCTTTGCCCACTCGTAGCTAATAGCAGTTACGCCAATGGTTATAATAATCGTCTAGTGCAGACGTGCCCCTATAAGTAGTGTTATTGTTCATTATATGAGCATTCTTGGCTGTGATTGGTCAACTACCTTCAGATAATTCTTGATATCTGCAGGTTATGACGTCACACCTACAGATAATAGTTTCTACAAAAATAGCCGCCATTAAAAGCCGGTGTTGAAAACAAATCAGCGATGTTTGCCCCAATTTCTAAAAACGATGTGAAAGCTTTTAAAGGAAAACGATGCGGAAAACACTAAAAAAGCGACGAAGCTGGCTTCAAACACACGTACAACATATTTAAACAAGACGAACTTGAATAAACCGTCTGCCATAAAAAAATTAGCGAAGGTTTCAAAAATGTTTTATATTGATATGTTTTGATAATACTTCAGTGAATAATAAAACAATTAATGAATTCGTGTTTCGCATGATATCAAGAATTGTCCAGACCTTGGTCAATGTTATATCCGCCTCAGCTTCGCTTTAGCAGATAACAATGACATCGGTCTGAATAATTCTTGATATCATGCTCAATCTCATCCAATAATTGCTTATTATTCTGTCTCACGAAAAAGTATCGTTCGTTTTATTGCAAAAGCTACTACCTAAAAACTGGCGTAACATAACAATGCACATTGTTTTCTTAAAAGCTCATTTCATGATTATGATTGGTTGATGCATCGATATTTTATTTCTAATGCATTATAGATATTTTTGAACAATGAAAATTTTGATCATATTTTTAACGCTTCATACAAGACTCAGAACTCGACGTTTTCAGCGAAGGATTTGGAATGTTCGTTTGAAGTTTAAAGAATATATCAAGGTATGGATAAAACTGGTAATTAACGTAAGTTATTGTACGATAACTTTGTTAAAAAATACTTAACGGTAGAACACTATGACATCTGGTTTAATTTAATACTTGTGCAAGTATTTCGTCTTTCCCTTGATGGCGACAAAAAGTAAACTTGGTAGCTTATTGTTCCTCGCAGGAACAATGAAGCAATGCTTACAAGTATACGAATACCTTGTTCAAATAAAGCGACAACTAAGATGAAAACTATGATATGCATGTTTAACAAAAAATTCTTCAAAAGTGACTGGAATTCGTTTTCGCAAATGCTAGAGACATAATTCGATAGATTACGACAGTTTTTAAGATATCTCAATGAGTAATTAAATAAAAATTTTTATATATATACTTCAACTTTGTTTTGAACATTGTTCTTATTCAAACTTGTTTTGGTGTAATTTCTTAAGATTTTTGCATGGAATTAATTTCATAATGGCGAATCACTAATACCTTAAATTTTTAAATCTCCTAAGCCAAGCAAAACTGCGTCCTGAGAGAAGTTCGGTAGAAAATAGACACAGCTCTACTCTATTTCAATGCAGCCATCGGAAAAGTAAGGATGAAAGAGACAGTAGAGAAAGTTTGAAATAATAATTTTTGTATTGAATTCTCAATGGAATTTGAAAAATTCACCGACTAAACACAAAGATCTGATGCACGAAAAATAACGTGCTTTTTCTTTAATTAAAAAACATGAAAGATGATTTATGTATCCTACTTGAAGATACGAATTCCAGACAATTTATACGAAAAAAATCAGGTCGTTTTAATTCAGCATAAAGTCAGCGATGTTACTAATAAGTAATATGTAGCATTTCATAACAGCGGGGAGGCTTCGATTACACAGAACAAATTCCAATAGTTTGTTCTTCGATATATTTACAATTTAAATGACCAAAATTATGAACGTATTATGAATTTGAAATTCCTGCTATAATTCATTTTTTCTGACGCTGGTTCAACTATGCGTCAAATCATACATGGGGGAAATTTTGAAAATATCTTAGCGATCAATTCCCACAATACACTCCTTCATTTAGACTTTTCTAAGGTACAAAAAATACACTTTGTAAGCAGATAAAAATTTTCTTCTACAAAACATACAATTATAGTGTAAATGAATACACTTTGAGTTTTGAAACGTGTGCTTTTCTCTTTTTAGTGTTGTAACCAATCCAAATCTAAAGCATGACGTTTGACATAAGAGCGCATTACTATAAAATATGGACATTTGGTGTGGTAAGTTGGTCCGAACCATTAAACAGAATGCTGATATTTGTTATATTTATTTATAGATTCATCATATATTTTTAGAATATTGCTGATTGTAAATGCATTCCAAATGACCCTTAGAAAATTTTAATTTCATGAAGATAGTTAAAGAATGAACGGAATATGAACTGCTCTGCTACTTCCCGCCAAAGCTTTAAGGCATCAATTCAACAAATCTTTGCAAGCACGGCCCAAAGACAGTTTGTTAACACAGTAAGCTAAAATAAGCAAAGCCGCAGGAAAAGGAGGAAAGTGGGGGCAACTGCTCCCAATATTTCCCATACTAAGGCTTAATATATGAAATTCAAAAATGCCAGTCATATAAATCAATGCGTAATATATCTAAGTGACCATTGGGGAGTGTTTTGCCCCTGCAAAATGAAATCCTACATGCACCACTGTAAATGAGAGACTTTAACTAAAAACATTAGTGTCTGCTGGCTCATGTAAGTAGAGGCATATATACCAAAGGATAGCACAAATATTCATCTCAATGGTTTGCGCTTAAACAATTAGGATATCTTACTTTTAGACAAGACTGCACTTACCATCTAATGCAGGATGTACACTGGCTAAGATATAATTAAGCTGACCATATGTTTTTGTACACAACACTCAATCGTGAAAATTTATATTTATTTTGTAACAAAGCTTATGCGTTGTTTGAGTGAAGAGTTATTTATCCTGTTTGCGATTGTTTCTAAAATTGGTAGTTTAATGTCGTGGTCACTCACAGCAAGATAGCAATTTTATGGATCGAATTTGGGAAAATAGATTAAAATAACTGGGATAGTTTTTTTGTGGTTAAATTATTGCAAAAATATTAGCGACCTTTTCAAATGATGTGAAAACAATCAGCACTTTTTTGACATAATTACGTAACGGACCAATCAGAATGCGTGATGAAAATAAAATATAAACAAATCAAGCACTATGTTTAATCAACTTTCTGCAGTTTGTTGTTGAATCTTTTGACGAAATAAAAGCTGTCTGTTAATAAATGAGTATTTTTCTTCAATTTTGCCGTATGACATTTTCAATCATAGGAATTTCCTCAACACGTATCTAAAAAGAGAAAAATTACCATGCTGCTTCCATGAAGTTTTAGAAAGCAAAGTTATTATCGGGGTGATTGAACAAATGTAAAAACAAAAACGAATGACGTCATCCCAAGCAGCGAGTTGACGTTTAGAGCAGCAATAAGTTGTAGACGGTCCATCTTCATTTAAATTGCCATGTTCTAACCAACACAATTTAAAGTTTATGAAATAAAACAGATTATCCTAAATATAGCTCTTTTTAAGATTTGGCAACAATATGTCGTAAAAGTAACCAGAGCTTAGGATTTCGTACAAACTATAATTAGTATTGCCGCACATACAGAAACTATTTCAAATGTCATCAAAGGCGTCGGCGAGGGGTGACGTTGGGCGACTGCCCCCTAATATTTTCTAAACATAAGTCTTTACATACATAAGTAAATTACTCAGTCATGCATATAAAACAATACGTAATACATGTTAATGACATTTAAGGGGTGTTCCCCCCAAATATAATCCTTGTACCAGCGTCACTGAATGTTATTACATATTATATAATGACACGAAGAAGTTGAGCAATTTCATTTGTCGCGAGCTAATAGGAATTGACGTCACAGAAAATTTCATGTTTATAAAAACAAATGGCGAATATATTTGAAATTTATTGCAATACCTCCCTGAATGGGAAAATAAAGATATTTACAAAAACCTAGTTGAGGCAGTTAACGTATTTGAGCAAAAAGAAAAGAAAAAACCCCGTTTTCAAACATTAATTTGTCCTTCGTCTTAGATAACAAAATTTCAACAAAATTGGTCAGCCATTGCTTGTTTATTTTGTTAGCCAATCACGTTTTATGACGTGATTAAGCTAGCAAATAGAATTCCTTCAATCCTAGAGATCACGTCAGCGTGATATTTGCAAAATCAAGGCTTTTCAACGTTCCAAGTGTTGGGAGAAAAGAAGACAAACTGTTTGACGGTTTAATTTGGGAATTTTTTGATTTTAATTTATAAAACAAATAGATGACAGTTAACCGTTGTCTATACAGTTATAGATACACGGGTATGACGTCATTTATGATAAAGACTAAAAAAGTGACCACGAGCCGCCGGGGCGAGTTTTCCATTTAAGTATTCTACAATTTAGGCATATGGAAACATGAGCTTGCTCATTAACAAAACGTAATTGCAGAAATGATTGACCATAGTGCTTATTTTGTCTACATTCAATTCTGTTGACACATATTGATTGGCTATTGAAATATCCACAAAAGCACTAATTGCTTGAACATATTTGGACATTGAGAGGCCAATATCCGAGTTTGGAAATCCATTTCGCTCTTTGACTGGAAGATCTCCTTTCAGACCCTTAAACATCCTGAAATTAGTAGACCATTTACTACAAGCATCTTGATAATAATCATTACTATTTTCGACAAAAGCTAATTTCCGGGTGATTTTTTGAGCTAGATAGGGTAGGGGATAAATAGAGGTTGGGTGCAATGTCTGCTACCTTTCAAATGGATAATTATTACCAGGACGCAATTATGGGGTGTGGGCTTAGTACGAGTAGATCATCTCCTTATTTCCTTATACAGCTCAATTTCTTGATTTCCCCTCTCCAGAGATGGTACAATGCATGAAACCGGGGTAAAATAGTTATTTTTTTGTTGTTCAGGCTCTTTTGCTAATTGCCGTCATTGTATTTTGCATATGGGGAAGACCAAGATACATGGAATACGGAATGAGTGTTGTTTTGATCTTTGTGATTAGTTTAAATGCCATCCTCATACTAACAATAACGGATACAAGTCCATTAGTAAGTAAAAAAAATGGCTTAACTATCTTCGTCATCGAAACAAATAGCTTTCATAAAGAAACAAAACTTTACTACTATAAATTCCTAATATGAGTAACAAAATACACTTTAAGAGAGCAATTTGAAATCACCTCCATTGTACTTGTGATTTTAAGGTCTACTGGTGCAAAAATTTTTTCGCCATCTGGTTGCTTGCAGTTGGGGCTCTCTTAGCTTATATGGTTCATCAATAGATGGAAGAAAACTTCAAAAGGACGCATGGCATTTTGTAGTTGGCTTTAAAATTTCGCGACTCTCGGTCACTAACTCACTCACGCGTAACGTGGGACTGCATAAATTTCAACTTTTTTAATTCACAATATACTTCTTTCATAATACGAACAAACACTTTAATTGTAAATAACGATTTGTATTGTTGTCAATTTTTATTGTAATGAACTTGTATTGAAGTAATTTTGATTGTTGTCAACATGTCTTGTTGCCAACTTATATTGTTGTATTTGCTTGGTAACGAACAAACACCATCTTACAAGGACCATTTTTCAAGTTTTCCTAAAGTAGAAAACTTGTAGATCAAATTTTTAAGAGATTTGATTGATTGAGAATTCGCGTTACGACATTTTTTCACAAGGGTAGAAACAGTAAAGGCCGTGTTGCAAAAATGGCTCATGCATCATAAAGGCAATATGTAAGGTTTAGATTAAAAGTGAAAAATATATATTGCATAAGAGCAATCCTACCTGAACTTTACGGAGGATGTATTCTGTTGACACCATCTGCATGTACCTAAAATAAACAATAGGTCATGGTTACAAGTTGATGTATTTATAGGCAAAGCTTTACAACCTTTCTCCCCAGTTAATTTATTTAAATTTGGGGCAGATCTGTGGGGGTCTTATCCTAGAAATTCAGTTAACAGAACTTTTATCATCATTTAATTATCTCAAAGACATTCATTCTTGGCAAACTAAAGTCAAACTCTACGTATAGTCATCAAAAAATGACTAACACTATTGACTCCAAAGCAAGTTGTTCAAAGTCAAGATTTCGGCAAAAACGTGTTGTTTTGCTTTTATTCCTCTTCAAAACATGCACCAAGACAATGAAAGAAGCCTATAAACACTTCTTAAAGATTGCATTAGGTAATACATCTTTTAACAGTGGTTGGTGAATTTGAGAATCGGGGCCACATTCGTAAAACAATCAGTGGTACTTCGTCTACTCTCCGGAAAAAGAGACGAGCGCTTAAAGTGGTATTCTATTTCTTAGCTCGTATCTGACGATAACCGAGGATTACAAAATTGACAACGCAAGCAGAGTTCCGATTGACTTGAAACAGCAATTTTCAAGGTGTTGATGGCTCATTGTCTGCTCAGTTGTAAGTAAACAACACGATTTACTACTTGCTCGAGGTAAGTAGTGAACAGCTATCAACGCCTACAGGACGAATTATTTTATAATATTATCTTTGCAGCATTGTCTGCTCAGGCAGAAGTAAACACGATTTACTACTTGCTCGAGGTAAGTAGTGAACAACTTATCAACGCCTACAGGACGAATTATTTTATAATATTATCTTTGCAGCATTGTCTGCTCAGGCGGAAGTAAACACGATTTACTACTTGCTCGAGGTAAGTAATGAACAACATATCAACGCCTACAGGACGAATTATGGAAGACGTGGAATTATCTTCAAAAATTATTTTTCATACAAAATAGCAATGAGTTTATTACTAAAAATCGTAAGATTTCTTGAGGACGTCACCGCTGTTTTGTTTCAGTGCAAGACACTTTGAACACAAACACATCACATGCATTTTAAGCGAGAACGCACAGACAAAAAAGAAAGCTTAAGATGATAACTGGACCTTTTACGAAACAGATTAGACCTTCATAAAGGTTTTGCTCATATTTTTCTTAAACGTATCTCATATTTTGTACAGGGTTGATGTGTATTATTTACATGTAAACTCTGTTTATGGTCGAGCTATCCGAAATGCTTACCTATTTTTACATTTCAGTTTAACTAGGTGCACTGTTGAGGCGAGACCACTGGGCGAGACGGTTAACGTACTTGAAACTGAAGTGTAGGAACGTAATTATGCGAAGTGTGTAAGTTTTAATAACGCGTTTGAGAGAAACAAGAATAGGCTATCCCCATTTTCCTATGTTTTTAGATAACTCTAGATAAACAAAATGCACGTTATGGACACGTCACTGTAAGCTCTTAACTTAACTATGGGATCCTCTAATGCAATGCTCAGTGCTGTAAGGAAAACAACAACGAAAGTCAAACCCAGTGGCATGTTCCAAAAGCCTGTATTTTGTCGTAATCTATCAATCAGGTCACACAGCAGTACAAGTTATCAGAAGTAGAAACTTACTCGAAGAAACATTCTGAATTGTATTGTGGATAAGTTTTTACGGTAACTTAGTTGTAGATTTTCAACAGTGTTCATTCGCGTTCATCTTCGCCGTTCAGTTGAAATCGGCAATCTTACTTTTCGTCAGAGGTGAATACATGAACAAAACAGTTTATAATTCTTTCTTTAGTTTCGAGGAAATCCTTTAATACATTACTATCATTATTAAATTTAGGGGTTTTACGTAAGTTAAGAGTTTTTTTTATTAGTGTGGGTTCCGTTATTAGTAGGCGTGTAAGCGCATATATTGCATTGGAAAAGGTAGATGATGGAACGAGCTGAAACGTACAATTTTTTACAAGGATGATAGAATGAGCTTTGTAAGGAAATCATGTGATATCCTGAAGTGCTATCATTAATATAAATAGTTGTAACTATCTAATGAAAGGGGGATGTTACGTTTGTGTGTTCAATTAAGTATAGGAAAATAAAGTCCCAGAGTGTTATAGGATCAGCTCACGGACCGAAAGGAGTTTTCCAACATTTAGATTTCAATTTTCGTTATGAAAGTCTTGGTATTCACAGCGTTCGTGGTGCTCCTTCTCGGGTCGCTCGATCAAACGCAGGCGGTTGCCCCATTTTCAGGGTGTTTATAGCACTGGGCTACAAGTTGGCTACAAAAACGTACTACGCAAAATGCAATCCGCGAAACTTTCCTTCTCACTTGAATTGCCCTTCAGTCGCCTACGGTTTTGGCGGGAGCAAGAACTCGGCCATAAAAGCCGCAAGATGGTACGCGGATGGTATTGAGAACGGCTGTGGTCGTTATGTTGGTCACTGTCAAGTAAAGAAATTCTACAAGTAAAAACAATGTTTGTAGAAAATCGGACTTTCAATTTATTTGGCTCACTGAACTGGACAATGAAGAATGAATTTATGTAATGATAATAATCGCAATATTGTTATTGATTTCAAAACCAATCAATCAATAAAATTTTTTTTCTCTGCACTACTTTTTTGCTATTTTCTTATTTTCAACATTCACATCTGTTTCGAGCTTTGTATGGTGCCTTATTGTGCATTTGGTACATAAACTAGAAGATGTTCTTTAATAAAACTACAAAAAATGCTTTTGTTGTGTTGACCTGACGTATAAAACGACAAAATATGCCCTCGTTGAGTTGACGTGACGTATAAAACGACAAAATATTCGCTCGTTATGTTGACATGACGTATAAAACGACAAAATATGCGCTAAATTGAACAGTAAACTTCATCAACAGTATGCACATATGAATATTTTTTCTTTCCTCCCCCCCAAATATTGAGTTGCGTACGGCACTGATTAAGTTTAATTTGTACGATAAGCCATTTCATACGTCATCTCATACAGTTCAGTGTAAAAAATTATTTGTCTATCGCTACATTTTGAAGCTAGACGGTACGTTGAAATTTACAGTTAACGTTTGATGAACACGCAAATTGGAAGGAATGAATAACAACACCAAATGAGAAAATTAAATAAAAATCTTCTGAAGCTTAACTCGAATAACTGGGGACTTGATTGATAAACTTTTAGATAAATATGGCAGCCATTATTTCACGTTATAACATGTTTGTGAAGGAGCAAGGATATTTTCACCTCCAGGCTCAAACGATAAGACAATCAGTGAGATCCATGTCGAAATACAAGCCACTAGAATGTTGTAATAATGGCTTTGTATAACACCATTCTTCCTGAGATGATTTTTTGAAATGTTAGAGTGGCCTTTTTTAACTATTATTGCGTACTTCAGAAACACTAGAGAAAAAAGTGTTTTATACACCATGAAGCCAATATACTGAGTGTCATCAGAAAAACGGAACCGTACAAATAATTTGTATGCATTAAAGGAAATCTGCAATAGACAATATAGTCTGCAATAGACAATATAGTCGGCAATAGCTAATTGCTCGACCTGGTTCATTTAGTAACACGCTTGTTTGTTTCAAAATGTTCGTAGCAACTATTGGAAAATGTGATTACCTTTTTTGGTTGCTATCTCTAAGTTATTGTCGCTTTGATTTTAGAAAGCATTTCCTTATTAGATTTGAGACAAAAATCAGTGCATCATAGTACTTTTAAATTGCTTTGCTTTTAACTTTTAAATTCAACTTTTAAATCCCAGAGGAGCAGAACTGTCAAGAACATTAAACTGTTGTTAATGCTAGTTATATTATAAAAAAATTTTCTCTTACTGAATCGACTACTAAGTCAATTGGTGATGGCAGTGTATGAATACGTTCATTTGTATTAATCTCTTACAACATTTGAAACATCATGGCTTTCATTTCTTTAGTCACTGAAGATAGATTTTTTTCTAATCTCTCTAAAGTCGTGAGAAGCAATCTTTCTGCATTCACATAACTCAGTTTCATGTTTAATGTTCTCTCGTTTGTTTATCTCCTTGCCACAACGTTCATTAGAACACAACCCTGGAGCAAAACCACAATTTTCAACATTTCTTTGAAGGTTTTCAACATTTGTAAATTCAGGACAACCACGACTGGCGTAGTCGCAGTTGATCTTTAACTTTGAAATCACGTTATTTATAACATGCGCTGGATGAAGCGTAGCTACAGTTAAATCATATTGACATTGAGGACATCTTTGTGCATTAACTCGTAGATGTTCTTCAATAGAAAAACGAAAAAAGATGTGCTCGTTATGTTGACACATTCTGGCATCTTTAACGACGTTCATGCAAATCGAACAATGAAAGTTTTCGTCAACAGCAGTCTTAAATCTCCATTCATCACATCAACTTTCGTAAGCATTTAGATAGCACGCCATTTCCGAATATATTTCTGAATAATCTAATGTCAAACTTACCCCAAGAGGTAGAAAAATATTTGTTTAACGTCACGTTTTGCAACTAGAGAACACGTTCAAAATCCTACATTAGATATTACGTTGATTAAACGCAGAAGTTAAGATAATCAGACAAATTCGTTCAAATATAAATATGCAGTGCGTATGTGTAGTACTCAAGCATGGCAAACAAAGAAAAGTCCACAAAATTAAGTGCATCGATGAACACAGTTCAAATGATAATGGAACTATTGTCATCAATATCAACAGTTGAATAATCGAGATAATCATGTACGAAAACTTCATTGTTTAGAGCAAATGTTCATAAAAAACAAATAGAACGAACGGGCTGTTAGTCGGAATAGCATGGCTTTGCTTCTCATAAAATGTTTCCCAAAATTTCAACGTAAAAATGCCACGAAAGCGTCAAAATATTATTTTCATTCATTTTTTCACGCCCAGGTCACACGAATCAATTATTAATAATAATCGTTTTATTATTGCTAGCACACTCAAGCTTCAAATGCTTGTCACGTGACTGTATTCATATCACATTCAATAATCATTATTTAGGTTATGTCCTCACTTTTTGATGGTAAATTTCTAAAAAAATTTTATTTGTCTAATGTTGTTCAGTATTACAAATTCGATGCTTTGAAAGAAGGAGAGGTAAACTATTAATTCTTCATGAAAGTATAGTTAGTGACTAAATAGTTTGAAACAGTGAGAGAGGTACCCTTCACTCTCTATGAAAGTATAGTTAGTGACTAAATAGTTTGAAACAGGGAGAGGTGTACCCTTCACTCTCCATGAAAGTATAGTTAGTGACTACATAGTTTGAAACAGAGAGAGGTGTACCCTTCACTCTCCATGAAAGTATACTTAGTGACTACATAGTTTGAAACAGGGAGAGGTATACCCTTCACTCTATATTAAAATATATTTAGTGAATACATAGTTTGAAACACGGAGAGGTGTACCCTTCACTCTCCATGAAATTATAGTTAGTGACTATATAGTTTGGAACAGGGAGAGGTGTACCCTTCACCTTCCATGAAAGTGTAGATAGTGACTACATAGTTTGAAACAGGGAGAGGTGTACCCTTCAGTCTCCATGAAAGTATAGTTAGTGACTAAATAGTTTGAAACAGGGAGAGGTGTACCCTTCACTCTCCATGAAAGTATAGTTAGTGACTATATAGTTTGGAACAGGGAGAGGTGTACCCTTCACTCTCCAAGAAAGCATAGTTAGTGACTACATAGTTTAAAACAGGGAGAGGTGTACCCTTCACTCTCCATGAAAGTATAGTTAGTGACTACATAGTTTGAAACAGGGAGAGGTGTACCCTTCACTCTCCATGAAAGTATAGTTAGTGACTACATAGTTTGAAACAGGGAGAGGTGTACCCTTCACTCTCCATGAAAGTATAGTTAGTGACTAAATAGTTTGAAACAGGAGAGGTGTACCCTTCACTCTCCATGAAAGTATAGTTAGTGACTACATAGTTTGAAACAGGGAGAGGTGTACCCTTCACTCTCCATGAAAGTATAGTTAGTGACAAAATAGTTTGAAACAGGGAGAGGTGTACCCTTCACTCTCCATGAAAGTATAGTTAGTGACTACATAGTTTGAAACAGAGAGAGGTGTACCCTACACTCTATAATAAAGTATATTTAGTGACTACATAGTTTGAAACAGGGAGAGGTATACCCTTCACTCTATATTAAAATATATTTAGTGAATACATAGTTTGAAACAGGGAGACGTGTACCCTTCACTCTCCATGAAAGTATAGTTAGTGACAAAATAGTTTGAAACAGGGAGAGGTGTACCCTTCACTCTCCATGAAAGTATAGTTAGTGACTACATAGTTTGAAACAGAGAGAGGTGTACCCTTCACTCTATAATAAAGTATATTTAGTGACTACATAGTTTGAAACAGGGAGAGGTGTACCCTTTACTCTCCATGAAAGCATAGTTAGTGACCACATAGTTTGAAACAGGGAGAGGTGTACCCTTTACTCTCCATGAAAGCATAGTTAGTGACTACATAGTTTGAAACAGGGAGAGGTGTACCCTTCACTCTCCATGAAAGTATAGTTAGTGACTACATAGTTTGGAACAGGGAGAGGTGTACCCTTTACTCTCCATGAAAGCATAGTTAGTGACTACATAGTTTGAAACAGGGAGAGGTGTACCCTTCACTCTCCATGAAAGTATAGTTAGTGACTAAATAGTTTGAAACAGGAGAGGTGTACCCTTCACTCTCCATGAAAGTATAGTTAGTGACTACATAGTTTGAAACAGGGAGAGGTGTACCCTTCACTCTCCATGAAAGTATAGTTAGTGACTAATTAGTTTGAAACAGGGAGAGGTGTACCCTTCACTCTCCATGAAAGTATAGTTAGTGACTACATAGTTTGGAACAGGAGAGGTGTACCCTTACTCTCCATGAAAGCATAGTTAGTGACTACATAGTTTGAAACAGGAGAGGTGTACCCTTCACTCTCCATGAAAGTATAGTTAGTGACTAAATAGTTTGAAACAGGGAGAGGTGTACCCTTCACTCTCCATGAAAGTATAGTTAGTGACTACATAGTTTGAAACAGGGAGAGGTGTACCCTTCACTCTCCATGAAAGTATAGTTAGTGACTAATTAGTTTGAAACAGGGAGAGGTGTACCCTTCACTCTCCATGAAAGTATAGTTAGTGACTAAATAGTTTGAAACAGGGAGAGGTGTACCCTTCACTCTCCATGAAAGTATAGTTAGTGACTACATAGTTTGAAACAGGAGAGGTGTACCCTTCACTCTCCATGAAAGCATAGTTAGTGACTACATAGTTTGAAACAGGAGAGGTGTACCCTTCACTCTCCATGAAAGTATAGTTAGTGACTACATAGTTTGGAACAGGGAGAGGTGTACCCTTTACTCTCCATGAAAGCATAGTTAGTGACTACATAGTTTGAAACAGGGAGAGGTGTACCCTTCACTCTCCATGAAAGTATAGTTAGTGACTAAATAGTTTGAAACAGGGAGAGGTGTACCCTTCACTCTCCATGAAAGTATAGTTAGTGACTACATAGTTTGAAACAGGGAGAGGTGTACCCTTCACTCTCCATGAAAGTATAGTTAGTGACTAATTAGTTTGAAACAGGAGAGGTGTACCCTTCACTCTCCATGAAAGTATAGTTAGTGACTAAATAGTTTGAAACAGGGAGAGGTGTACCCTTCACTCTCCATGAAAGTATAGTTAGTGACTACATAGTTTGAAACAGGGAGAGGTGTACCCTTCACTCTCCATGAAAGCATAGTTAGTGACTACATAGTTTGAAACAGAGAGAGTGTACCCTACACTCTATAATAAAGTATATTTAGTGACTACATAGTCTGAAACAGGGAGAGGTATACCCTTCACTCTATATTAAAATAAATTTAGTGAATACATAGTTTGAAACAGGGAGAGGTGTACCCTTCACTCTCCATGAAAGTATAGTTAGTGACTAATTAGTTTGAAACAGGGAGAGGTGTACCCTTCACTCTCCATGAAAGTATAGTTAGTGACTAAATAGTTTGAAACAGGAGAGGTGTACCCTTCACTCTCCATGAAAGTATAGTTAGTGACTACATAGTTTGAAACAGGGAGAGGTGTACCCTTCACTCTCCATGAAAGCATAGTTAGTGACTACATAGTTTGAAACAGAGAGAGGTGTACCCTACACTCTATAATAAAGTATATTTAGTGACTACATAGTCTGAAACAGGGAGAGGTATACCCTTCACTCTATATTAAAATAAATTTAGTGAATACATAGTTTGAAACAGGGAGAGGTGTACTCTTCACTCTCCATGAAAGTATAGTTAGTGACTACATAGTTTGAAACAGGGAGAGGTGTACCCTTCACTCTCCATGAAAGCATAGTTAGTGACTACATAGTTTGAAACAGAGAGGTGTACCCTACACTCTATAATAAAGTATATTTAGTGACTACATAGTCTGAAACAGGAGAGGTATACCCTTCACTCTATATTAAAATAAATTTAGTGAATACATAGTTTGAAACAGGGAGAGGTGTACTCTTCACTCTCCATGAAAGTATAGTTAGTGACTACATAGTTTGAAACAGAGATAGGTGTACCCTTCACTCTCCAGAAAAGTATAGTTAGTGACTACATAGTTTGAAACAGGGAGAGGTATACCCTTCACTCTATATTAAAGTATAGTTAGTGACTACCTAGTTTGAAACAGGGTGAGCTCTACCCTTTACTCTGTATGAAAGCAGAGTGAGTAAGTAAAGTGTGGCAATTTAATGTTTGCAAAGTGCAATTAGCACATTGTAGTAAAATATTAAAAATGGCACATTATTTTTTAAGCAATATGCAAAGAAGTAAATATTATGCATTAATTTCTAGACCACAACTTGCCATTTTTTGTAGTATGATATCAATATGATGTTTTATAATCCAATTTAAACATTAATAACAGAAGTTATACATAAAGAAGTTTTTACAAGCTAATCCAGAGAAATGAGAAGTAAACATATTAGTCACATCATGTCGCGGCAAACATGCCTATTTTCAGAACAGGAGTCTTCAGAAAGTGACCAGTTGTACACATGAACTGTTTAACTAGTTCAAATGTACAATACAGGCACAATTTTACTACTGCATCATGTTTAGCTTAATGAAGTGTTTGTTTGAATCTGACTCAAAAACTTCATGTAATATCAATCTAATTTTTACTATGGGTGACTACTTGGCCAGGAACAGAGATAGGTCTATCTTTCACTCTCTATGACAAAAAAGTGGGTGATTGCTGAGTTTGAAAAAGGTAGAGGTGTCTGCTTTACTCTCCAGGAAGCCTAATGAGTGACTACTTACTTTAAAACAATGTGAGGTGTAACCATTACTCTTCATGAAAGAAAAATAATGACATATGTTAAAACAGGGAGAGATAAACCCTTCACTTTCAATGAAAGCATAGTGAGTGACAAGTAGACTTGGAACAGGGAGTATATTAACCGTCACAAGCCAATATTACATTTAAGGGGTTGAATATATTATTTCAGTTCATGAATTTTCCATGCAAATTTTTTATGCATTTGATTTTGACAAGGATTCATACACTGTGTCCGTTCACTGTGATTGAAATTACAAAAAAATATTTTAAATTATGGACTCTAACTTAAATTTAGACAAAAATAAAAAATGCATATCACATAAGAGTTACCTCACCTGAACATAACAGAGGATGTACTGTTTGTATTCATTGTTCATAATCCAATTCTGATGACACTATCTATATATACATGAAATTCAAAAGAGAAAGAAATAATTATTTATTCATAGGCTAAGCTTACCACCCTCTCCTCTCCAGGGTACTTCACTTAATGTTGAGGCAACTGTGGGGGGTCTAGTTTTGGAAATTCAGTTAAAAAACTTTATCATCATAATTTATTTCAAAGATATTCATTCTTGGGAAGCATATCAAAGAGTTTCTGAGGGCATCGCTCACTGTAGCAATACTAAAGTTAATTACCAGAAACTAAAAACTTAAGACAAGACGCAGTTGCGATACTTTACAAATTTGACAGCTATGTTGTTCTGTTCACTGAACTGCATCAACAAATGACTCACCCGCAGCAAGTTGTTCAGATTCAGGACTGTGGCAAAACGCAAAAACATGCTTCTTTACTTTTCTTCCCCCATCAAAAAAAGCAGCTAGACATTGAAAGTAGCCTCAAAACACTTTTCAAAGATTAAATAATGTAATTGCTGCCACGCTGATGCGAGACACTAATCTTGACATGTCTCGGCCCATTCCTCTACTCGACCTATATAGAGGTAAAATCTCGATTTGTGTCTGTCTGTTAACATTTCCGGGGGGGATTTTTACGGAATGAGGGGGGAAGAACAATCACAATAAGGTAGAACCTTTCGGAACTCCTGTCAGTTTCTATTTGATCTTAAATGTCTGGAATCCGAATAGATATGCGGCCTAAACAACTTTATACAATAGATACCAAAATCGAGTGATTACCGACATCAATTATATATCTCGTTTGGCGAAAAACATATGAAATGGATTCACCGTGCCGTATTTAGCCAGCTCGGTTCACAAATTTTATCTTGCACTCTATGATCGCACGGTGAGAAAAATGTACTGTAAGCATGTATTTATTTTTGTTCGAGCTTTTATTATTACTTGAAATATCGGTGTGGATTTAACTAAACGTCAAAAATAATTTAAACGCATGGTGGGAGTTCAACCATGAAATATGAATTACGAATATGATGAAACGTTTGCTCTTTGCGATAACTTTTCATCATTTTATCGCAGTCGCACATAATCATCGGAAAATAGGTTCTATCAAAATGTTATAAAGGAAATAATGGAAACAAAACTACAGTTTTATAATATAGTCCGCTTCTACGTTTGAAAACATGCGTTCGATCGATCGTTTGAGTAAACAAAGTATCATGCTTTTAATCAAAAAGCAATTTAAAGACTCAAAAGAATCAAAAGTATCAAGACATTTAAAAGAATCAAAAATTGTTTTCGTTCGAAATGGTAATGAATTTATCTTTAAAATTATTTTCACGCGTGAAATGAAATAAGATGTAAAGCACGGAGTTATTTTTCGCCGGAAATCAACCGTCGACTTTCAGAACGCGTGCCTTTGTTTGCATGTATACCAAATAAGGTATGGCACGTTTGAAAGGCCCGTTCACTCGATCCGATTTGTCGGATCCGGTTTTGTCAGATCCTAAAAACGGATCGTGTGAGCACATATAAAGTTAGTCTCCGACAGTCGGATCCGTCAATCTAAAAAAGAGGATAGAAATAGCCTAGAATATAATGACTAGCCAAATTATATATGTTTGAAAAGACATGGAAACAAGAAGAAAAGTACGCAAATATATCGATAAATGGACAACACAAATGGCTGCTCTCAAGATTATAAATATCTAAACGTATCTAAATATCAACACAACTATCTGACCGTCTGAACAAGCAATCAAAAGACGGAACCAAAACAATAGGATCTGACAAATCGGAACGTGTAAACAGGCCTTCAGATAGAAAGAAAACTTTGCCCATGGCGAAATAAACCTTGCCAACGCAAAGCTAAAAGTTAGAGACACGCATGTAAAATTTCTTTGTCTATCATTCTAATCACCCAATCATAACGTATGTATGAAACCACCTAGAATGCTGTACACGGAGGTGGCTCCAATGGATGTCACTACGTTCTGAACCCTGCAATTTTTCCAGATAAGGGGTCGGGGCAGCAATCCCCCCTTGCGATAGCAACTTCTAGTATATATAATATATATTTTACAATTACGGTAAATTTGGCGCCACTCTCCGCCACATTGCATTGAAAAAAAAATTTGCGGTATTTTCCGAAGAAAGCGACAAACGCTCAACATGGTATTTTTCGTCTTCATTCGTATCCGACTACTACCGAGGATACGAAATTGACAACTAACAAAAGCAGAGTTCTGATTGGCTTGAATCAGCCATTTTAAAGATCAAGTTCCTGATTTCTGATCAGTGTTGCCACGCCTTGGGATTTCTCCCAAGATCTTGGGATTTTCTGCTCAAGCTTGGGATCTTGGGAGTTTTTCGAAATATTGTAAAATCTTGGGATATTTTGTTTAAATATTTTATATGTAATATTATCTCGTATTATGAATTTATAAATAAGTGTGACACGTGTTTATAAAGAAGCTTGACAACCTTCACACCCTCCCACTGAAGATGCCGTCTGAATCTGATGTTTATTTGAACATAATATAAGTTCTTTTACCGTGGATATTCTTTAAATTAATGTACGTGTATTCCATAAAACGCTGAAGCATTTCTTTCCATCGAAAATATTATTAATTGGTATTGCATTTCTTGGTTGTCTTTACTATTGAACAGTAGAAATCAGGAGGGAGTGAATATTAAAAATAATTTTTAAAGTGGAAGTTTGACAACTATATTTGATCATTTCAACACTTATATACATATCTATAACTATCGATTTTTATGAAATTAAAATTAAAACAAAAATCAATTCATTCCACTCCTTACATTATGCGTTCATTAGTGTGGCTAATCGTGTACCCATGACAAAGGGGTCCCCCAGAAACGACTGTGGGGGATCTTGGGACTTTTTCCTCAAAATCTTGGGAATTTGTAAAATAGTGAGTGGCAACACTGTTCCTGATGGCAATATAGCCGCTTATTTTTTGAAATGAAATTCTTATTATTGATATAATTAATTTGAGGAAACGCAGGAAACAATTTAACAATACAAATACAGGGCAGATTGCATAACCCCCCGCCTGATAGTTCTATTCTTTGGATTATATTTTCTCAATTCGATCAACTCAAAAAGCTATGGCCAATCAATAAATAAACTCAGTAATAACTAAGTTTCATTCATGTAAAGAAATATAACCATCTTTTAGCACACTTGAAAGTCTCGAACGAAAACAGTCAAAGAAACTTAAAACAGGCCAACAGGCCGTAAAACACTATTTAAAAGCGACAAGTGGAAGTACCACTGAACTTGTTTGTACAGGCTTATTGAGGAAATCTTAAGCAGACCTCGAGAGCTGATCAGTGAAAGCCTGAGAACGAAGATCGAGGGTTGCACCTGCTCGAGAGTTCTTACAAACGTCTCTGAAGTTTGCATAAGCCATGCAGTCCAAACACGAAAAACACCTTTTATTTCTTTTGAAAAATAACAATAATGCGAAATAGACAATTTCAAACAAATTTTTTCACATTCCCCTAAATGCATTCATGATCGATTTGCAAATTCTCTTCGATTGAGTGATTAATTTGTTTGGTTTAGCTCAGATCGGTTTGTTTGCACAGACTAATGCAAACACTTTCGTTGACCAATCACTGCACGCGTTTTATTGTGTTTATTTTATGAATAAAATATTTATCTTCAATGGGAGGAATGTGTTTTTGAGACTGTACTCTAAATTTCTTGATTTGTTTAGGAATAGTTTTCAATGCCTCATGACATTTGAAATGGCAAAAAGATACACATGCTTGGTAGATAACTACCTATTATTGTATCATCTTACTTTATTAATATCTCACTTTAAAAAAAACGAAAATTCTAGAAGAGATTGGAAATCGGTGTTTACAGAAACGTAAATTTAAATCTTAAACATTCTGTTCCAAACCGCCGTATGATTGTGCGTGTAGTCATCTGCGACAATTGTTTAAAGTTGTGTACATCGAAAGAGTTTACATTTAAAAAATATTTTCACAGAAAAACAAACAAATAGGATTTCCTATTCAAGTTTTTTTTCCTAAATCTATTGGACCACTTCAAATTTTGGCACAGTCGCGAGTTAAGTATAATAATTATTAAGTCATTGTTCAAGGTGTAAAATAGAAATTGCCGTCATTTAATTTTAGCTCGTGTGAATCCATTCCACAGGGAAGTCTACTGAAGGTCAACATTTCTCCTTTCATCTTTGTTTATGTAAACGTTAAAGAATGATAATTTAATTTTGATATAACAAAAACGATAAAACAATATCATTTCAATAAAAGTTTTCCACTTAAGTTTCATTTTATTATAAGTAGATGAAAATGTAGTTAAATAAGTTAATTGTGAATTTTGACATGACATCATGGCAACCATAGAAGACAGATCATCACTACACATGACGTCATTTATGATAGTTCCTATTTGAAAGTGCTAAAAACGTTAACGGCATTGCTTCGTCAGCCATAAACTATAATTGGACAACTTATAGAAAAAATTTCTTCAGTCCCAGTTTATTTTTTATGACTTAAGAATACTTTACTTGATTTTTTGAATGCTTAAAAATAATGTGTATCCATTACCAAATAAGGTTAATTGTGTAGTAATTACATTTTGCTTCATTGCATTCCGATTTGAAATAGATCTGACATTTATTTTCAATATAATTTCTGATTAAATCACCAACTGAGCAAACCGATACCTTCAAATGGAATTTTTTAACTTACTTATGAAACCACGCAATCGGTAGGGTAGCCATCCAAATGTTTTTCTGTTTACTCACTTTGAAAGCAACAGATTTCAAAAAGAAAGAAAATAATGATAATGCTCTAAAATTTACATAAATAGCGTCGGTGTTATTAAAACTCATACACTCACTGAGTGTGGCTTCAAAATCATCTCATAACCATCTAAAGACAATGTCTACTGCAACGATTGCTCCACAAGAAATATTTCAGCAAAAATCTTGCTATGAATAAAGAAATAGTTTATCATTGATTAGCGGGAGTCCGTTTTTAGTTTCGCAATCGTTGAGTGTGATGTGAGGGCGCTTTTAGAACACAGGCGCAAAACTTGCAGGATAGCTAGTTGAAAAAACAATTTAAAAAATCGTGTTCTGTTGCGTGACTGTTTGTGAGAAAACAACTTTATTTTCGTTCCGTGCGACGAATGTGATTTGCGTTGGAGGTGCACGCGATATTGACGTCTGGTTTAGATTTAATTAACAGTCCATAAAATATACAGTGTTGTTAAAAGTTTTGTCTTTATAGATTCCATCGCTATAGTTTCTTGATCAGCCCCGTTGGGATGTCGAATCTCAAGTCTTTCTGATGTAGTCAAGTGGAATGTCTTCAACGGGAGTGATCTGATGTTGAAATTTGAGTTTTTGTATATACTTAAGTCAAGTGTTTTCATTAAGAGTGATTTGATTTTGAATCAGAAGTAGCAATTACATAATTCGCGTGTATAATCAGGAGTGATCTGATATTGAACTTTGAGTATTTTTGTACGCAGTCTAGTGTTTGCCTGAAGTGATTCAATGTTGAATCTTCAACATAAGTGCATGATCTAATTTTGAAATAGGCTTTTGACCCGCATTGACTCCAGCGCTCGCATAACAACTTCGCCAAAAGCTGAGCACTGATAGATAATTTAAAAATTAGAGATTGGCAATCTTCTTTCACTCATCTTATGATAACTTCTTATTTTTCACTCACACCGAGTTTTCATCACAAAAATTCATCGTCTCGCTTCTGAAAATACAGCTTGTGCAAAATTGAAACTGTCGCCATGGGAAGTTGTTTCGTCTCCACTAAACTATTTACATAATAACTCAGTTTCATGTTTAATCTTGTCTCGTTTTTTATCTCCTTACCACAACGTTCATTAGAACACAAAACTGGAGCAAAGCCACAATTTTCAACATGTCTTTCAAGATATTCAACTTTTATAAACTCAGGACAACCACGAACGACGTAGTCGCAACTGATCTTTAACTTAGAAACCATGTTATTTATCATACGTGCTGGACGAAGTGTAGCTACCGTCAAGTTATGTTGACATTGAGGACATCTTTGTGCATTAACTCGTAGATGTTCTTAAACAGAAAAACGAAAAAAGATGTGTTCGTTATGTTGACACATTCTGGCATCTTTAACGACGTTCAGGCAAATCGAACAATGAAAGTTTTCATCAACAGCAGTCTTAAATCTCGATTTATCATATCCACTTTCGTAAGCATTTAGACAGCACGCCATTTCCGAATATATTTCTGAATAATCTAATGTCAAACTTACTCCAAGAGGTAGAAAATTATTTGTTTAACGTCACATTTTGCAACTAGAGAACACGTTCAAAATCCTATATTAGATATTACGTTGATTAAACGTAGAATTTAAGATAATCAGACAAATTCGTTGAAATATAAATATGCAGTGCGTATGTGTAGTACTCAAGCATGGCAAACAAAGAAAAGTCCACAAAATTAAGTGCTTCGATGAACACAGTTCAAATGATATTGGAACTATTGTCATCAATATCAACATTTAAATAAACATCGAGATAATCAGGTACTAAAACTTCATTGTTTAGAGCAAATGTTCATAGAAAACAAATAGAACGAACGGGCTGTAAGTCGGAATAGCACTGCTTTCTTTTTAAACAAAATGCTTCCCAAAAATTTCACCGTAAAAATGCCACGAAAGCATTATTCTCGCTTCATTTTTTCACGCTAAGGTCACACGAACCAATTATTAATAATAATCGCTTTATTATTGCTAGCACACTCAGGCTTCAAATGCATGTCACGTGACTGTATTCACATCCATTCAATAATCACCATTTAGGTTATATCCTCACTTTTTGATAATAAATTTCTAAAAAAATTTTATTTGTCTAATGTTGTTCAGTATTACAAGTTCGATGCTTTGAAACAAGAAGAGGTGTACCCTTCACCTTCCATGAAAGTATAGTCAGTGACTAGATAGTTTGAAACTGGAAGAGGTGTACCCTTCACTCTCCATGAAAGTATAGTTTGTGACTACATAGTTTGAAACAGGGAGAGGTATACCCTTCACTCTCCGCGAAAGTATAGTTAGTGACTACATAGTTTGAAACAGAGAGAGGTGTACCCTTCCATTTCCAGGAAAGTATAGTCAGTGACTACTTAGTTTGAAAGAGAGAGAGGTGTACCCTTCACTCTTCATGAAAGTATAGTTAGTGACTACATAGTTTGAAACAGGGAGAGGTATACCCTTCACTCTCCATGAAAGTATAGTTTGTGACTACATAGTTTGAAACAGGGAGAAGTGTACCTTTCACTCTCCATGAAAGTATAGTTTGTGACTACATAGTTTGAAACAAGGAGAGGTGTACCCTTTACCCTCCATGAAAGTATAGTTTGTGACTACATAGTTTGAAACAAGCAGAGGTGTACCCTTCACTCTATATGAAAGTATATTTAGTGACTAAATAGTTTGGAACAGAGAGAGGTGTACCCTTCACCTTCCATGAAAGTATAGTTAGTGACTACATAGTTTGGAACAAGGAGAGGTATACCCTTCATTCTCCATGAAAGTATAGTTAGTGACTACATAGCTTGAAACAGGAGAGGTATACCCTTCAATCTCCATGAAAGTATAGTTTGTGACTACATAGTTTGGAACAGAGAGAGGTGTACCCTTCCATTTCCAGGAAAGTATAGTCAGTGACTACTTAGTTTGAAAGAGAGAGAGGTGTACCCTTCACTCTTCATGAAAGTATAGTTAGTGACTACATAGTTTGAAACAGGGAGAGGTATACCCTTCACTCTCCATAAAAGTATAGTTTGTGACTACATAGTTTGAAACAGGGAGAAGTGTACCCTTCACTCTATATGAAAGTATATTTAGTGACTAAATAGTTTGGAACAGAGAGAGGTGTACCCTTCACCTTCCATGAAAGTATAGTTAGTGACTACATAGTTTGGAACAAGGAGAGGTATACCCTTCACTCTCCATGAAAGTATAGTTAGTGACTACATAGTTTGAAACAGGGAGAGGTATACCCTTCACTCTCCATGAAAGTATAGTTTGTGACTACATAGTTTGGAACAGGGAGAGGTGTACCTTTCACTCTATATGAAAGTATATTTAGTGACTAAATAGTTTGGAACAGAGAGAGGTGTACCCTTCACCTTCCATGAAATTATAGTTAGTGACTACATAGTTTGGAACAAGGAGAGGCATACCCTTCACTCTCCATGAAAGTATAGTTAGTGACTACATAGCTTGAAACAGGGAGAGGTATACCCTTCACTCTCCATGAAAGTATAGTTTGTGACTACATAGTTTGGAACAGGGAGAGGTGTACCTTTCACTCTATATGAAAGTATATTTAGTGACTAAATAGTTTGGAACAGAGAGAGGTGTACCCTTCACCTTCCATGAAAGTATAGTTAGTGACTACATAGTTTGGAACAAGGAGAGGTATACCCTTCACTCTCCATGAAAGTATAGTTAGTGACTACATAGCTTGAAACAGGGAGAGGTATACCCTTCACTCTCCATGAAAGCATAGTTTGTGACTAAATAGTTTGAAACAGGGAGAGGTATACCCTTCACTCTCCATGAAAGTATAGTTTGTGACTACATAGTTTGGAACAGGGAGAGGTGTACCTTTCACTGTATATGAAAGTATATTTAGTGACTAAATAGTTTGGAACAGAGAGAGGTGTACCCTTCACCTTCCATGAAAGTATAGTTAGTGACTACATAGTTTGGAACAAGGAGAGGTATACCCTTCATTCTCCATGAAAGTATAGTTAATGACTACATAGTTTGAAACAGGGAGAGGTGTACCCTTCACTCTCTATGAAAGTATAGTTAATGACTACAAAGTTTGAAACAGGGAGAGGTATACCCTTCACTCTCCATGAAAGTATAGTTTGTGACTACATAGTTTGGAACAGGGAGAGGTGTACCCTTCACTCTATATGAAAGTAAATATTTAGTGACTAAATAGTTTGGAACAGAGAGAGGTGTACCCTTCACTCTGTTAGATTTAGAGGTTTTACCGAACATCAGATAGAATCATAAAGGAGTTTAACAACATAACGATTGACAATATATTTTAACATAACATGTGCTCTCTTTTATAAGGCAGAACAACAAGTACATACGTCACATGATTAACAATTAAGTTGAGAGTTATACACTGTGATGTCATTTCCTTTTTTAACACTCCCACTTAACGATCAACTAAATTACTTATTAAGTTAAATTTGTTTTACACCAAGAAGATCTCTAAAACGTTCATACGTAGGCTTGCTTAATGGTTTAGTCATAATGTCAGCAATCATTGATTCTGTAGGACAATACTTTACGCATATTGCGTTCTTATTAACTTGCCCTCTAATGAAGTGATAGGATATGTCAATGTGCTTTGTGCGATTATGAAATTTCGGATTCTTGCACAATTGAATGGCTCCTTGATTATCTTCGTAAATTGTTGTAGGAACAGGTTTCAACAATTCAATATCATTCAGTAATCTTCTTAGCCAGATACACTCTTGTGAAGCTGAACTCAAAGCAATATATTCGGCTTCAGTTGTAGATCTTGATACAGATGTCTGTCGTTTACTGCACCAGCTTATCGTACTGTTTTGAATCTGAAAACATACCCTGATGTAGAACGTCTTGTCTCCACATCACCACCCCAATCGGCGTCTGAAAACCATACAAATCAGAATCTTTTCCATTTGCAGTAAACAAAGACCATAGTCCATCGTTCCTTTGATATAACGAAACACTCTTTTCACTGTTGCCAATGATCTTTACCTGGTCTGGACATATATTTAGATAAAGTTGCGACGGCGGCAGCTAAGTCTGGACGAGTTGCAACAGTTGCATATGTTAAGCAACCTATTGCCATTTGATATTTCTGAACATCTACTGGCTTCTCATTATCAGATAATGATACAAACTTCTTTGACGTATCTAGTGGTGTTGATACTGGTTTTGATTCATCCATTCCAAACTTCTTTAGTACTCCAAGCAAATATTGTGACTGACTGATACTAAGTGTTTTAGCTTGACGGTTGCGCTTTATTGACATTCCCAAAATGTAACCTACTTCACCAACATGTTCGACTTTGAATCTCTTAGCGAGAGATCTCTTTTCTTCAGTCAACATATCTGTACAATTAGAAAACCACAGTATGTCATCCACATACAAGGCCAATATGACAAAGTCGATTTTACCATTCTTTCGTTTAATGGACTTTATATAGACACACGAATCTGCATTACTTTTTCGATATTCATTTCACAATAGAAACTTGTCGATTTCAGAATTCCAACATCGTGCAGCCTGTTTCAAACCATATATGCTTTTCTTCAATCGACATACATAATTCTTCTTCTCTTGATCAACATAACCTTCCGGCTGTTTCATGTAAATTTCAACTTCTAGCTTACCTTGCAAAAAGGCAGTCTTTACGTCAGTTTAGTGAACTTCCCAGTTGTGTATGTTCGCCACACTCAGCAATAATCTAATTGATGCATAACGAACTACTGGTGAAAAAACTTCTTCATAGTCGGTACCTTCAGATTGAGAGTAACCTTGCGCCACTAATCTTGCTTTGTATCTTCCACAGATCCATTCTCCCATTTACCTTGAATACCCAACGACATCCTACTATATTCTTCCCTTCAGGAGGAGGAACAAGTTCCCATGTCTGGTTATCTAATAATGATTGATACTCTGAATCAGTTGCTGTTCGCCAATTGTTGCTGTCTTCACCATTCCAAGCTTCTTGGATGTTACATGGTTCGTTGATGTCAGCAGTCAAGCTTTGTGAGAAGTAATTCTCTTCATCAAATCTGTTGGGAGGTCTAGATATTCTTTTTCTGGGAAGGCTTTGAGTTTCTCTAAGAAAATTTTCTTCATATGTCGCTCCCACTGGTTGAAGGTGCTTATCTGCTTCAACTGGGTTTTCAATTTCGTTATTTTCTTCTTGAGCAAATTCTTCCATTGGTATTTCATGTGGTTCATCAATCTTTTCTTCTAGTGGAGTGTAAAAGTTACCGAACTGTTTGTTTTCATTACCTTTCAAGTCGTAAAATCTTTTCTCAAGAAAGACAGCATCCCTACTTCGAAAAAACGTTTGACTGAGTACATCAAATAATCTGTAGCCTTTCGTCCCTTCAGGATATCCGATGAAGATACACTTCTTTGATTTCTCTGAAAATTTCTTTCGTTGACTTGCAGGCATGTGAGCGTAAACTAGGCATCCAAATACTCTCAGATTAGAAACATCTGTTTTTTTATTGAACAAGCATTCAAACGGTGTAACTCCATTAAGTGATACTGTCGGACTTCGATTTCTGAGATAGACAGCTGTATTCACTGCTTCTGCCCAAAATTGTAACGGCATATTACTGTGTGATAACATTGATCTGGCTGATTCTACAAGTGTGCGATTCATTCGTTCCGATACACCATTCTGTGCGGGATTATACGGCACAGTAAGTTGATGTGTAATTCCTTTCTGTTTAAGAAATTCTTTAAATTCTTTGGAACAATATTCCCCACCATTGTCTGTCCGTAAAAATTTAACTGAACAACCAGTGATGTTCAAAACCATTGCATTAAATACTTTAAACTTCTCCAATACTTCATGTTTGTTCTTAATGAAATAAACATAAGTGTACCTTGAAAAATCATCAATAAAAAGAACAAAATACTTTGAACCACCAAGTGAATTTGTTGACATTGGTCCACAAACGTCACTGTGCACCAATTCAAACGGTTTAATTGCACGCTTTGCTTCCTTTTGGGATACTTGGATTTATGATGCTTACCCATAATGCATCCCTCACATGGAGATCCTTCCTTAGGCGTAGTATCCATGCCAATAACCATATTATCATTCAGCAGTTTTGAAACATTGTTCATTCCAAGGTGACCAAAACGATAATGCCATAACATTAATTTATCATCTATTGCAACATTCACATAGTTACCTTCAATGATTTTCAATACATACAGTTTTTCCAGCATTATACCACTTGCCAACAACTTTGTACCTCTAAAGATTTCACATTGATCATCTCTGAAAGTAACACATGCTCCAAGCTTTATCATGGCTCTTACAGAAAGCAAATTCCTACCAAGATCTGGTACATACAACACATCTCGCAAACTTATCTTCTGAGGTCTTTCATTTGCATCAGCAATAATACGACAAACCCCTTTACCATATGCAAGAATACTTCTATTATCTCCAAGATTAACAATTGATGGATTTGAAAATTGAACATATTCAATCAAATTGCTCTTATTATAGGTCATGTGCTGTGTGGCACCTGAGTCGATAATCCAGCAGTTATTATTCCATGAACTTGAGGTATACAATGCTTCGTCTTCCACCATATTATCATCATCCTCTTTCTCTACACAGCTAGCAGATTCACCTTTCTTTCTTTCATTACTTTTCTTGTTCTTGTCGTCGAGGACCTTTTTCTTTGGACAGTCACGAGCAAAATGCCCTCTTTCATGACAGTTGTGACACTTCCCTTTAAATACATATTGTTGCTTTCCTTTTCTCATATTTCTTCCAGCAGCAAATGCTCCTTCAGGATCCTTTCCGTCTTGTCGTCGATCAACATCATTTAACAACATGTTTTTCACTTTGTCGTAAGATAAGGAGTCATCACCTATTGCATCCAGGGCTGTAATCAAGGGTTTGAACTCTTCAGGCAAACTCGCTAAGAGTGTCATTGCCAGTTCTTTGTCCTCTACTTCTACCCCATTTCTTTTAGCTGGTCATGCAATGTTCTTAAGTGACTAATATGCTCCAACATGCTTTCTCCTGAACGATAACGGCAAGCGTAGTATTGTTGTCTCAATCTCACTTTCTGTAACAGAGATTCTCTAGCAAATTGCTTCTTTAGAGCGTCCCATGCTTCTTTTGCAGTTGTGGTATGGCGTACATGAATTTGATATTCTGGTTCGATAGCCAGACAGATGTGAGTCCATGCCTTCTTCGCATTACGCGCAAAACTCTGACAAACTTCGGCACTTTCCGACGTAAGTTGAGCAGTACCCTCAGCATGTTCAAACAGATCAAGGCTTTCTAAATACAAACGCATGTTAAAAGACCAGGTCCGATAATTCGACCCATTTAACTTCGCAAATTTGAACGAATTCAATTCAGCCATATTCATTTTATATTCGACCGCAAAATACTTATAGAAATATCTTATAAAATCGTCGACTTGTTCGATTCACATGTAGACCATAGCATTCTGGGCCCATAACCTGTTAGATTTAGAGGTTTTACCGAACATCAGATAGAATCATAAAGGAGTTTAACAACATAACGATTGACAATATATTTTAACATAACATGTGCTCTCTTTTATAAGGCAGAACAACAAGTACATAGGTCACATGATTAACAATTAAGTTGAGAGTTATACACTGTGATGTCATTTCCTTTTTTAACACACTCTTCATGAAAGTATAGTTAGTGACTACATAGTTTGAAACAGGGAGAGGTATACCCTTCACTCTATATGAAAGTATATTTAGTGACTAAATAGTTTGGAACAGAGAGAGGTGTACCCTTCACCTTCCATGAAAGTATAGTTAGTGACTACATAGTTTGGAACAAGGAGAGGTATACCCTTCACTCTCCATGAAAGTATAGCTTGTGACTACATAGTTTGAAACAGGGAGAGGTATACCCTTCACTCTATATGAAAGTATATTTAGTGACTAAATAGTTTGGAACAGAGAGAGGTGTACCCTTCACCTTCCATGAAAGTATAGTTAGTGACTACATAGTTTGGAACAGGGAGAGGTGTACCCTTTACTCTCCATGAAAGTATATTTTGTGACTAAATAGTTTGAAACAGGGAGAGGTGTACCCTTCACTTTATATGAAAGTATAGTTTGTGACTACATAGTTTGAAACAGGGAGAGGTATACCCTTCACTGTCCATGAAACTATAGTTAGTGACTACATAGTTGGAAACAGGGTGAGCTCTACCCTTTACTCTGTATGAAAGCACAGTGAGTGAGTACAGTGTAGCAATTTACTGTTTGCAAAGTGCAATTAGCACATTGTAGTAAAATATTAAAAATGGCACATTATTTTTTAAGCAATATGCAACAAAGTAAATATTATGCATTATTTACTAGCCCACAAATTGCCATTCTTTGTAGTATGATATCAATAGGATGTTTTATTATCCGATTCAAGCATTAATAACAGAAGTTATACATACAGAAGTTTTTACAAGCTAATCCAGAGAAATGAGAAGTAAACACATTAGTCACATCATATCGGGGCAAACATGCCTGCATTTCAGAACAGGAGTCTTCAGAAAGTGACCAGTTGTACACATGAACCGTTTAACTTGTTCAAATGTACAATACAGGCACAATTTTACTACTGCATCATATTTAGCTTAATGAAGTGTTTGTTTGAATCTGACTCGGAAACTTCATGTAATATCAATCTAATTGTGACTTGAGAGAAACATTTTTCTGAAAACAAGAGCACATCATTTTTTTGAAACTAATTCATACAATGGGTGACTACTTGGCCAGGAACAGAGATAAGTCTATCTTTCACTCTTCATGACAAAGAAGTGGGTGATTGTTGTGTTTGAAAATGGTAGAGGTGTCTGCTTTACTCTCCAGGAAGCCTAATGAGTGACTACTTACTTTAAAACAATGTGAGGTGTAACCATTACTCTTCATGAAAGAAAAATAATGACATATGTTAAAACAGGGAGAGATAAACCCTTCACTTTCAATGAAAGCATAGTGAGTGACAAGTAGACTTGGAACAGGGAGTATATTAACCGTCACAAGCCAATATTACATTTAAGGGGTTGAATATATTATTTCAGTTCATGAATTTTCCATGCAAATTTTTTATGCATTTGATTTTGACAAGGATTCATCCACTGTCTCCGTTCACTGTGATTGAAATTACAAAAAAATATTTTTAATTATGGACTCTAACTTAAATTTAGACAAAAATAAAAAATGCATATCACATAAGAGTTACCTCACCTGAACATAACAGAGGATGTACTGTTTGTATTCATTGTTCATAATCCAATTCTGATGACACTATCTATATATACATGAAATTCAAAAGAGAAAGAAATAATTATTTATTCATAGGCTAAGCTTACCACCCTCTCCTCTCCAGGGTACTTCACTTAATGTTGAGGCAACTGTGGGGGGTCTAGTTTTGGAAATTCAGTTAAAAAACTTTATCATCATAATTTATTTCAAAGATATTCATTCTTGGGAAGCATATCAAAGAGTTTCTGAGGGCATCGCTCACTGTAGCAATACTAAAGTTAATTACCAGAAACTAAAAACTTAAGACAAGACGCAGTGGCGATACTTTACAAATTTGACAGCTATGTTGTTCTGTTCACTGAACTGCATCAACAAATGACTCACCCGCAGCAAGTTGTTCAGATTCAGGACTGTGGCAAAACGCAAAAACATGCTTCTTTACTTTTCTTCCCCCATCAAAAAAAAGCAGCTAGACATTGAAAGTAGCCTCAAAACACTTTTCAAAGATTAAATAATGTAATTGCTGCCACACATCAGCGTGGCAGCACACTAATCTTGACATGTCTCGGCCCATTCCTCTACTCGACCTATATAGAGGTAAAATCTCGATATGTGTCTGTCTGTTAACATTTCCGGGGGGGATTTTTACGGAATGAGGGGGGAAGAACAATCACAATAAGGTAGAACCTTTCGGAACTCCTGTCAGTTTCTATTTGATTTTAAATGTCTGGAATCCGAATAGATATGCGGCCTAAACAACTTTATACAATAGATACCAAAATCGAGTGATTACCGACATCAATTATATATCTCGTTTGGCGAAAAACACATGAAATGGATTCACCGTGCCGTATTTAGCCAGCTCGGTTCACAAATTTTATCATGCACTCTATGATCGCACGGTGAGAAAAATGTAGTTTAAGCATGTATTTATTTTTGTTCGAGCTTTTATTATTACTTGAAATATCGGTGTGGATTTAACAAAACGTCAAAAATAATTTAAACGCATGGTGCGAGTTTAACAATGAAATATGAATTATGAATACGATGAAACGTTTGCCCTTTGCGATAACTTTTCATCATTTTATCGCAGTCGCACAGAATCATCGGAAAATAGGTTCTATCAAAATGTTATAAAGGAAATAATGGAAACAAAACTACAGTTTTATAATATAGTCCGCTTCTACGTTTGAAAACATGCGTTCGATCGATCGTTTGAGTAAACAAAGTATCATGCTTTTAATCAAAAAGCAATTTAAAGACTCAAAAGAATCAAAACTATCAAGACATTTAAAAGAATCAAAAAATTGTTTTCGTTCGAAATGGTAATGAATTTATCTTTAAAATTATTTTCACGCGTGAAATGAAATAAGATGTAAAGCACAGGAGTTATTTTTCGCCGGAAATCAACCGTCGACTTTCAGAACGCGTGCCTTTGTTTGCATGTATACCAAATAAGGTATGGCACGTTTGAAAGGCCCGTTCACTCGATCCGATTTGTCGGATCCGGTTTTGTCAGATCCTAAAAACGGATCGTGTGAGCACATATAAAGTTAGTCTCCGACAGTCGGATCCGTCAATCTAAAAAAGAGGATAGAAATAGCCTAGAATATAATGACTAGCCAAATTATATATGTTTGAAAAAGACATGGAAACAAGAAGAAAAGTACGCAAATATATCGATAAATGGACAACACAAATGGCTGCTCTCAAGATTATAAATATCTAAACGTATCTAAATATCAACACAACTATCTGACCGTCTGAACAAGCAATCAAAAGACGGAACCAAAACAATAGGATCTGACAAATCGGAACGTGTAAACAGGCCTTCAGATAGAAAGAAAACTTTGCCCATGGCGAAATAAACCTTGCCAACGCAAAGCTAAAAGTTAGAGACACGCATGTAAAATTTCTTTGTCTATCATTCTAATCACCCAATCATAACGTATGTATGAAACCACCTAGAATGCTGTACACGGAGGTGGCTCCAATGGATGTCACTACGTTCTGAACCCTGCAATTTTTCCAGATAAGGGGTCGGGGCAGCAATCCCCCCTTGCGATAGCAACTTCTAGTATATATAATATATATTTTACAATTACGGTAAATTTGGCGCCACTCTCCGCCACATTGCATTGAAAAAAAAATTTGCGGTATTTTCCGAAGAAAGCGACAAACGCTCAACATGGTATTTTTCGTCTTCGTTCGTATCCGACTACTACCGAGGATACGAAATTGACAACTAACAAAAGCAGAGTTCTGATTGGCTTGAATCAGCCATTTTAAAGATCCAGTTCCTGATTTCTGATCAGTGTTGCCACGCCTTGGGATTTCTCCCAAGATCTTGGGATTTTCTGCTCAAGCTTGGGATCTTGGGAGTTTTTTTCGAAATATTGTAAAATCTTGGGATATTTTGTTTAAATATTTTATATGTAATATTATCTCGTATTATGAATTTATAAATAAGTGTGACACGTGTTTATAAAGAAGCTTGACAACCTTCACACCCTCCCACTGAAGATGCCGTCTGAATCTGATGTTTATTTGAACATAATATAAGTTCTTTTACCGTGGATATTCTTTAAATTAATGTACGTGTATTCCATAAAACGCTGAAGCATTTCTTTCCATCGAAAATATTATTAATTGGTATTGCATTTCTTGGTTGTCTTTACTATTGAACAGTAGAAATCAGGAGGGAGTGAATATTAAAAATAATTTTTAAAGTGGAAGTTTGACAACTATCTTTGATCATTTCAACACTTATATACATAAACTATCGATTTTTATGAAATTAAAATTAAAACAAAAATCAATTCATTCCACTCCTTACATTATGCGTTCATTAGTGTGGCTAATCGTGTACCCATGACAAAGGGGTCCCCTAGAAACGACTGTGGGGGATCTTGGGATATTTTAAAGGATCTTGGGACTTTTTGCTCAAAATCTTGGGAATTTGTAAAATAGTGAGTGGCAACACTGTTCCTGATGGCAATATAGCCGCTTATTTTTTGAAATGAAATTCTTATTATTGATATAATTGATTTGAGGAAACGCAGGAAACAATTTAACAATACAAATACAGGGCAGATTGCATAACCCCCCGCCTGAT